TTTTTTTTTTTTTCTTTTTTACCTACACCGGTACAAAACGTCTAAGCGAGCTAACCATGAGGAAACGCCGGCCCCTCGTTCCCATCGCAACGCGCGACAAAAACGGAGGGGCGAAATTAATTATAAAATACCTTCGCTTCGATTTCGAGTACCGTCAATCGTTTCTACCGTCCCCTCTTAAACCGTCGTCACGTATTCCCGCAACTCGGTCGTCTCGGCGTCCGCGTTAGCAAACCACGGGTCCTCGTATTTGGGCGCCTCCTCGCTGCGAGCTCTATGAGGAGCACGTGCCCGTTCACGAGCACGCATACGAGGCACCTCTTCGCTTAACGATCTCTTGGTGATCCCCATCGTCACGGGAACTTCTAACAATGCCTTCGATCTCGTCAACTGCGGCCTCTGTCGGCCCTTTGCTTCCTCGCTAGCCGCGCGGACGATCACGGTAGGCGGCACCAATCTGTTCTCGCTCTCGGGATAGACACTCTCTGACCTAGCTCTCATGGCTGACATAGCTTTCTTTTTTGACAAGCCGCGGCTCTTCACGATGCTCTTTCTCTGGACAGGCTGCGGAGAATACTGCTGTTGCTGCGATCTCTGCCTCTTCACGGGAGTGGTAGGGACCAGAGGCGACCAAATCGGCGGAGACAAGTCAACTGGAGACTGTACCTTCTTCGGTGGAGTTCTCTCCGGTGATTCGTCCTTCCAGGCGCCTTGATAGAGCGGGAACGCGGACACTTGGTTGAGGATCCGCCATCGGAAGTCCTCGTCGTCGCTTCTGCACGGCGTCGCCTCCGGCGGTGGATGATGCGTCGGCGTTACGTTGTGGAAGGGCGACCAGGATTTCGGTTCCTCCGGCTCTTGAACTGCGAAGCTACCGCCACGGTCGTCCGACGGTGAACCGTCGTAAGGGGTCCACTTGATCTCGCTGATGTGCTTTGGCTCTCGTTTCTTGATCCCGATCGTCGGCAGAGGAGAAGCGTCCTCGTACGGAGCCCACTTGGCGTCCGTGATCGTAATCTCCGGAGAGATCAACCTTCGAACAACCCTGTTCTCCAACTTGGTTATCTGTCGAGGATCCGGCTCCGGCGACATGCTTCTTCGAATGCTATACTTCGGTCGTTCCTTCAAGCTCTTGCTTTTGAACCCCTCCGTGGAGTCTTGGCTCCTCCATTTCGACTCTTTCTTCTCGGGCAGAGAGAAGTGCGGTTTCATCGCCCACTTTGGCCGAGGTTTCTTCCCTTCGTCCGGGCTGCTCACCTTCTCCTTCGCGCCCCATTTCTTCGACGTTTGACTGTCGACTCTCGCGTGGGATCGTTCCAGCTTCGGCCTGACCCTCTCTGCCCTCACTAGCCTTGTGTCCTCGCTGGCGTGCTTCTTCAGTTCCGGTTTCTCCGGTGCTAACTGCGTGACCCGTTCTTCTTTACGTTCCACAGTCAGCGACGCAGAATGGTACAGTTTCCTCTCCGGCTCTTGTATCGTCGGTTTCTCCGGCTCGGGCGGTTCCTTCGGTTCCGAAGGCGGCGAAGGTGCCAAGGTCTTCGACTTTGGACAGGTGCATCTCGGTTTTGGATTCGGCAACACCTCCGGAACTTGCAGCCATCTGGCTTCCCTGGCCATTCTGGTGTCGTCGCTGCTGTGCTTCCTTAGATCGTGCATCGGCGTTTTCAAGTAATCCGGCTTGACCGACCATTTGTCCGTCTCCGCGCTATGGTGCTTCCTGAGGTCGCCACGTTGGATCTCATGCGGCTTCTTCTCCTCCGGTGTCAGACTGTGGCAGCTGCATCTGGTCTTCTTGGCTAGGTCCAGATCGGTGTTGGACGTGTGCAGGGCCCATCGAAACTCGGTCCCCTCGCTGGTGCGCTTCTTCAAATCCCAGATCGCGTCGTCCGGAGAGAGGAAATTGCCGTCGGCCCATCTGGGATCAACGCTGTGATATTTGCGTAGGTCTGCGCGATCTCTGTCGGTCGTCGCGTCGATCGACGTGTCGCAGCTGCAGATCCTCTGGGACGTTGGCGTTCTCTGGGACTCGAGAGGCGCTGGCTCGATCGCGTCCAGATCCTCGATGGTGTAGAAGATCTCCTCGCGTCGCCTCTGGCCACAGGACGGACATCGTCCACTTGGCTCCCCATCGTCGCGGCTAGATCGATGATGATGATAATGATGATGCTGATGAGGTTGTCGATGCAACGTCGAGGTCGAGGTCGATGCGGAGGGGTCAAGCTGCGGGAGCAGCTCCTCGTCGTCGCGACGGCCGTCGTCAGAGTGTCGTGACGTCGCAGCCGCGCCTGTCGATGCGCACCAGCAAGTGTGTGTAGCTCCGTCAAGCCGCCTTGGTGGGTACCGCGACTCCGGAGACGACGAGGCTCCGCTCGAGGCCGGTACCAGGCAGACTACCCCGATCGCCAGCTCCGCAGGCCTGTTTCAATTCATTATTTTGTCTTACTCGCAGTCAGTTTTACGTAAATCAATTAAAAATTTATGTAATTTAATATCAATTCCATTTGGAAAGTCTCACAGCCTTATAATTCAATGAAGCTTTTGTTTTATCATCGTTTTTATATTTCACTTTCGTTGATATTAAATTTTCTGCTCTTGTGAAAGTCCTACTAAATGATACAAAATCTTAGCGGAAAAATTAGCGGACGGCTAAAAGTTATCGTCGAGAAGTGTATTAATAAGTTTAAATACATATCTTAATACCGTAAATGTACTTCTGGTGAAAGTTATAAGCCAGTCGTTATAGTATTAATATACAATGTGTATCTACTTAATTAATATGCGAATGATAAAACAAAAGGTCAATTATTTTATATTTGCCAATAATGTTTATATTAAATTCAGTAGTGAGTCGACAAAAGGTTAGAGGAATGAATTGATAACACAAATTATAACGAACCTTCAGTTCAGTGAAGACCTCCGTGAAGAATCCAGGTTCGCTGTTAATCCGTAGCATCTCGGAGCTCAGTCGATTGACGATCAACAGGCACCTATCCCAGAACTTGTCTTTGCTGTCCTCGATGAGGAACGGTTTCAACGGGTAGCTGATCTCGTTCCCCATGTAGCTGTAGCTCAAATACAGGCACGTTAACACTGTCGCCTGAAGCTCCCTCTCGGAAGCCTCGTCTCCGTCGACCAGCTCTCTCACCAGCATATAAATGAACACAACGTTGGCGGGATTGATGAATGCTACATCCTGTTGAAAAATGCTCCACGTTAGTACCAACAATCAACCATTTTTGTTACGAAATAAATTTCATCAACAGAACCTTTTACCATCAACTTATGTCAGAAATTCGAACATTTGCAATCTCGTTTTAACTTTCTTTCAGACTGTTCGTACTAGATCAGCCTATTTATTTACTTGATCTAATACTTGTTTTCAAAGTTGCAAACAATTACACTGATTAAATTCTTGATTTTAGCTTAATATTTTTCCATCGTTTTTTTTACACGTAATCAGTATTACATGGACTTGATATGTAAATAGGAGTTTCTCCTCTCATCAATTATATGAACTTTTTTGGCAGCTCCCCAAGAGAAAATTACAGTACTAATTCCATGCTGTACATAATTTAGCGATGATATTACAATAAATATTATTGTATTAAATATTCATTTATTTTATTCATATCTATTTTTTAATCAAAATTTTTCATGTACAAATTTAAAGCGTACACTGCACTGATGAAATTTTTTCGTACTGCCTTTACTCTTTTTTATCCTTACTGCTAATAATGGATCTGTGACAATTAAACTGCGATTTTTTGCATTTATAGAAAATTTAAAGGTGCAAAATTGCACAAGATGCGCATAATGTGGAAAAACATGTAAGATACCTAGAGCATAGTACTTCTTATAATATTTGGTATATGAAGTATTTGTATATATGAAGTATTGGTATAAGAAGTTCTTACCCAAGTATTTTGTAAATTATATTCTCAACGAATTTACATAAAAATCCGTTGTCCAAACGGATAATAATAATTAATATAATCGTAATCTCTACGAAATATGCGTATTCCAATATATGCCATATTTGGAAAAACATTAGAAGCAACACTTCGTTACGGCTCCATTTGAAGCCAATATTCGCCCTGTGCTAAAATCATCAGAGTAGAACGTTCGTTTGTCCGAACACGTCGCGATACAAAACCATCCGGATGATCGAAGAGTTCGGATAATAAAGGCTCACTAACTTTCTCCACATCCTAGTCTTATTTGTTTGAATAACAAAGGATAACAGAGAAGTTGATCAACTGAAGCTCATCATTAACTGGTTTCTATAAACGAAGTTCCACTGCATTATTATTTTCCTCGACTTTTACACAGAAAAACCAATGTTGTTCCGAGTTGTCGGAGGCCGAAAGCATCGATCTATGGAAATAATGGAACGAAATCGAATTCCTACGAGTACAAAGGGTTAGACGGATATTCGATGCATAGTCTAGCGCAGGGGAGCGCGCGTATTATTGTCTCGCGGCGCGAGCGCAACCCCGCGCGCTCAGGTAACGCTAAGAGCTTGTTCTTGGCCAACGATACTCGTAAAGGGATGATTCATGCGCAGTGTCGCATTACGTGCCATGCTTGCGAAATTGCAATCGGCATTGTGGCACTCGACGCGGTCGATACTTCGATTCCAAAGGGTCTTCGTTTCATCGAGGCCTTCACGGGCGAACGAATATTTCGCGGCTACCACGAAATTCCAAGTTGCTGCATTGTTCGCCTCGATTCCTTTT